TCGGGCAAGAGGAAAAAAGCTCCCCCCAAGAAGAGCCCTTTAAATGGAGTGAGCCAGGAGGGAAAGCAGGTCCAGAGAAACGCTGCCAACGCCAGGGAGAGGGCCAGGATGAGGGTCCTTAGCAAAGCCTTCTCCAGGCTTAAGACCACCCTGCCCTGGGTGCCCCCAGACACCAAGCTTTCCAAACTGGACACCTTGAGGTTGGCCTCCAGCTACATCGCTCACCTGAGGCAGATCCTGGCCAATGACAAATACGAAAACGGCTACATCCACCCGGTCAACCTGGTAAGTCACGGCCCGCCGGGGCCAGGCACTCCGGGTGTGTGCATGGGGAGAGGTGGGGGAAGGGCTGGGATGGGGCATGTGAGGGGAGAAACCTTCGCTTGTGCTTCTCACAGAGAGTTTGGTGCCGGTGGGGTGGCAAGGGGTACCATGTGAGGGGACGGGCTCCCAGCTGCCCTCCCGCCCTGTGCCCCGAGAGCTGAGCCTCCCAGGCCCCATCCGCTGCTCCTGGCAATCGTCTCCAGGGGACAAGGCAGGGGCCGTGCTGGCCACAGATGGGCAGGGACAGGCTTTACTGCCCCAGAAATGCCTGAGAAACCTCAGCAGGTTGACGGCAACTTTCTACCTGCAAGCAGGCGGGTATAGGAAGTTGGGTAGAGAAAGTTATGTTTTAGGAAAGACCCAAGCCAAGGACCCAGGATTTATTCTTATCTCTCCTCTCTGCCCTAACATTTCCTGCCATAATAGTCCCTTCAAGCCCTAGCTTTTTAAAGACAGAGCTCTTGGGGCTCTGCGCTCAGCCGCTCAGATTTGCTGGGTCCACGACTTTTCTCCTACACATATAAACTGGCAAAGGAGAAATAAATGCCAGTGCAGGCTTCCCAAGGGTGTCTCTGCCCCAGGCACAGGCCGCAAAGGCTCCCTGGGCTGTGCGGTGTCCCTCCTGCTCCCACCACCCACAGAAAGTTTTCTCCAGCAGCTCAGGGGCTCCCTGCCATCTCCGGCCACCAGAAAAACAGAAACACCCAGTTTCCAGCTCTAAAAATATGGGCAACTGATGTAAACCGGCGGCGGGTGAGATCCACCTGGGCTCTTTTTAAACATCCAGCCTTTACATTGCCAGCACATGTGGACCCTGGCGGATAAAGGGATGGCAGAGAGGATCTGTGGGGACGTTTCACTGGAGGCCAGCTTTGCCTTTTGAGCTCTGGACTCTGGGGGAAAGTACATTACCCGCTGTGTCAGCTGATAAGGGCCTCAGATATATTTTTTCGGCTAAAACCAAAATCCTCAGCACAACAACATGGGGAAAAAAAATAAAGTAAAACAAAACCAACACCCAATGCAGATAT